GTGCAAGAGCTAGCTAGCACTTAAATGCTAACCACTTTGATAGGCAAAAGCGGTGCAGGTCCATCATAATGCACACAAGAGTTCTCCCTATGACTTTGGCCAAATTTATTGAAATTGAGGGGATTTGAACTGGTTTTGCCAGCAGAGAATTTCTTCTGTGCTTTTAGGTTATCATCTACAAGGAGATGAGATTGAACATGCACTCCTTGTGCTGGCATGTTACTGGAAGTGCCCAGAGTTTACAAGTGGAGGGTTTCTCTCCGCTGGTGCTCTGCTCATGAAGGCACAACTGCATTTTGTGATCCTTCTCCCTGGTGCGTGGAGGCTCGCTCCTCTTTGCCCTCTGGCTTGGATGCATTTTGCAGTCCCGCAGAGCTGGTGTGGGCAGTGGGTAGCTCCCATTCTGAGCTGGAGCTTAGAGAGGTCAGCAGACATCTTGACCTCAGAAATGCATCAGTACTAACATACTTGAAGATTACTTCTTTTGGGTTGTATTCCACTGTAGAGTTGCTTGCTTACTTTCTTTTTAATAGAAACATTCTGTGGCAAAAAAGGGTTGTGGTTTTTAGAAGCTTAATTTCCCCACCAGGTTATTAGGTTCATGTTTAATACAATTTGCACACCAAATACTCAAAAAAAGGGGATTTCCCATGGCATACACTCTTTTGAAGGGTGGGTACTCCTCTTCTGAAGGCTGTTGGTAGTAGTTAGACTTCTGCTTGCAGCTTTGAAACTATGTTTGTTTGGGCTATTCAAATCCCATGATGTTTTACCTGTATCTAAACATTTCCTTTATTCAGGTATTTAGGTGTAGATACATTATATGTATCTAAACAACAATTCCTTTATTCAGGTTAAGCATTGATCAAGAATGTGCTGGAGATTCAGGCTGGAAGTCATGCATTAACACTGAAAAAAACTTGATTTTTTGAGATATGCTTTTCTTGTTTAGAAGACTAATTAATTCAAACATGAGTTATATGTAAATTGCAAGGCATATGCATCCCATTTTACCAAGAAATGATATGAATTGAAATAATTTTTATGCCTATTCCTCCAAGATTAATAGTATTGTTTCCCATATGAGCACACATATCTGTCTTACAGTTTGAAGGGATCAGTAACACTCCTCTTCTACTACTATTATTATTTGAAGTTTTACATATGAGTACTCAGTGGGGCCCCATCCTTGGGGAGAAAATTCCCTTGCTGCAGAATTATATTGCACCAATTTTGCAGGAGGCCCGTGAATAGTTGCCAACTCAAATTCTACAGGAGAAAATTCTCATAAAAGAGCACTCTGAAATGAAATGAAAAATTGCCACTTGTATCTTTGTCTTTTAGTAATTCTCTTTGGGACCTAAAGAAGCTGGAATTACTAAAATAAGATCACATGATAGTTTAGCCTAGCAACCCCAAATCCTCTGTGCGTCTTTCCAGAGGTGAAAAATAGGTGTCAAGAAAAAGACTGAACACCTTATGTACAAATCATGCTTCTAAAATCTTTTTTCTTTCTGAAGCAGAGGATTAACTGCCCCCCCCCCC